GTTCACAACCACTCCTTCCCTCCATCTACTTGGCGTATACTCGTTTTTCCACACCCAATTGTACAGCAGTACCATGAGCTGGATCATCCCCTTCCCCCAAAACTTCGTGAACTCGTTGACTATCCCATCCGCACCTGCTGCTTTGTGGCACTTCAGCTTGTTCACACACGCCTCAACCTCGTCCTCAGTGAACTCCTTTTCTAGTTCTACGTTCCCAACGTCTGCCTTCGATGTCTCTTTTTTTTTTTTGGCTCATGCGTCCACCTCCTTCTTAAACACTTGGTCAAAAGCATCATTCTCCGAGGGCACTCCAAGTCTCTTGTAGTGTCCTGCTAGAACTTCCCTTTTTCCTTTCCCACTGCTGCGGGGGGGGGTCCAATTGCGTCACAAGACTAGGTGGTCAGCCACGCGTTACGACATCCAACTCGGCCGGGTGGGGTTGGGGTGCTGCGTTGGGCTGTGACGGGGCCCTACAATTCTTGTAGCAACGTTCCCACTGCTGTATGTACATAACACGGTCGCCGAGGCATCACCCGAAGACCAAAGAAAGAAATTGAAATTTCTGACGCACAATGTGGCCGCCTTGCAGTAGTCGTGGGGGACTTAACCTAGAGCAACCTTAAGGCCCTTTCGTAATCGAGTGAACACCATACAAATCTTGGAGGCATCAACGTGATCGACAGAAACCGAGGCCGATCACGAAATAGAGCGGCACGCGATCGCATGTTTACTACAAGTACCTCTATGTATAACTTGTGAAGATTCGGACGAGAGTGCCGCGTCAAGGTACGCCAGGAAGTTGCCTCAGTCGGCATGCTATCGCAGTGTTGGTATTCAAACCACATGGGCAGGTGATCTTCGATCTGACGCGCACCCAGGCGTACGATGCCAAAGATGCAACACAGGCCGCGCGACTTGGCAAGCTATCCACACTACAATGAAACCTCCTCTGCCGTTAAAGTCATGTAGAGGATGGAGCTGCAATTTTCGAATAGGCACGTTCCACTTTTCCTCACGAAGCATCACCCGCATGAGGAGCTGCACGCGTTCCCAAAATTGGACCTCCAATTACGTTGGCGCGCTATCTTGTGCCTTGCAGGGACACGCCAGCAAATACGTCGCTGTCGTACAGAAACGCATGCAGCTCTGTAAAGAGGACCGCATGACATCTAAACACGCGAACTTCTCACCAGGTAAACAAAGGTGGCGAACACCATTGCTAGCGTTGTTGTGGATGCGCCCCTCATGTTGACCCTCCTCTCTTTCTCACGTTCGTGTGTGCGCGAAAGGCGTGTTCATACACGTAAAAAGCGCCTCGCGCTGGGCTCGTGCTCCGCGGCGCCGTCGGCTGGAGGTCATGATGGGGGGATACACAGCTGTGGTAACGATGGGAGTATGGTAATCACGGGGCCCCTAGTCACCTCGGACAGCCTCGTATCCTGATGATATCAAGTTCCGCCGCCGCCCCACCAAGTCCGTGTGCGTTGATGAATGGTGGTGGCGCGTGTTGTGGGGACTGCTCTCCTGCTGCTGGCATGGCGCGTGTGGGCAATAATTCCGCGACGGTGGCGTCAATGGCCGGCGCAGCAACGCGCGCAATCGCCACAGCAGCAAACTAGCACATCGTCTTCAGCAGGCAGGCCAGGCCGGAAGGTCAACACGCTAGTCGTTCTGGGTTCGGGTGAGTGCGGCCAAGTGGCTACTGTCCTGTGTTCGTTGATGACATACGGCATGTACTTAATTGCCGAACGGGATGCCGCCAAGTCGTCGGGAAAGCCGCTGTCTGTTGAGCTGGATAATATCTGCACATTTACCTCGCACAGACGGACGCAAGTTGCCACTTTTTGAATCGCGCAACTCTTTTGAGTGAAGAACTCTCTCGCTCCCCTCCTCCTGCTGTAGCCCTCCCCGCTAAGCCTGAACCAAACCCACATGTTACTCAACCCCTGAGGAAATAGCACCCTGCAGTAGATCGCTTAATAGTTTTGCAGGTCTGTGCGCTCTTCTGCCCCATTTATGTCTGCCCTCGATGTTCTGGACTCCTCCCCTACCCCGTAGCAGCCGGTAGAAGACCTCTCCCCTGCCCGTAACACAGCAGTGCGTCCTGAGCCTGCGCGTGTCTTGTAAGTACGCCTAACAATCGTCAGTGATGAATACGCTCCTTCCACAGACATAAAATACGTTTCGCCAACGTACCCCCTTCACCAGCAACAACGCGCAAACAACATGGGACACGCAGAACAAGAGAGCAGTCCACGCAACCTCACTTGCACCAACCAGGCACCTTCGAGCACCTCCAGTTCTTGTCTGTCCTCCATTCCGTGACCCCTTCTCCCGGTACTGCCTCTTGAAGTGTCACGTGCGCTTCTGACGCTCGGGTATTTTGCAAGTGGCCGCGAAAAACATCACGGGGGTCTCGGGGGCACAGACTGGTGGTGGTTACCGTTTGCCCTTGGATGGATGTGTCGATTCAGTCTCGCTTTGCTGGAAGCTTTCCGACGAAGCAGTAGTAGCCTGTCGCGTCGAAAGCTCTCGGATATTCAGCGCAGGATCCCGAGGGTTTTTCCACGTGACAGACTTGAGGAAGTGGTCGGTCGAACCTATATCTATCGCACTTACGTGCAGCTCTGGGGTCTGCGTGCTCCCCCTATCTAACAGGATGTAGTCGAGGATTGAGTATTCATTGCAAACTGCCCGTTGCCTGGTGAACTCCGGCTTATCGCATTCCCTCCTCGTTGCTCCCCAAGAATTCAAGCATCCTCACGCCGTTGTCATTCACTTTATCTTCTCCGTGCTGCCCGATCGCCTGTCCTCTACTGGAAGCTTTCCCTACTCTGGAGTTGAAATCGCCCACCATGACAACTTCTCCCTTCCTACTGAACCTCTGGACATCTTCCCCAATTTGTCCAAAGTTCTCCTGCGCCTTG